GTAACTTTGATAGTTCTTATTCTAAGCAGTAAAATGCGGTTGGAGGAAGATGAAATTTTCGAAAGCCAAGAAAGTAGGAACTGAATAAAAGAGCACGCACGTGTTGACGTAAACTGCTGCACACTGACTAGAGACAAATGTCTCCGCTGGAGGCGTGTCCCTTCACTAATCAGAGTTTTGATTGCCGTCATGTTTGAGACTCGAATAAAGAAGATACGCTATAGAGCAGAGATGGAAGGAAGGAGTTTTCACTGTTATGTAGGAAATACTTTCTATACTTCTTCGCCTTAAGTTATAGATGGCAGTCCTGTCCTAGTTGCATCCGCAAAGATTGTAGCGATGTTATCATCTTTCTCAGGTTCATGATTTGGAAGGCTTATTGGGTTGCTCCCTACTACTAATGTTTTTCCTTGTAAGATAACTTCGTGTTCTAAGAATGTAAAATCAGAAATCCCTGATCAGTGATGTGCCCCATTTGATATTTTGCTCATGCTCTTTGAATAAATCCACTGTGTGATTGGTGTAGCCTAAGAATGCTTATCAATTTCACGATTAGTGTCATCTTGTCAAACTTCAAAATGTTTATCGTAAGTGAAAAACAGGGTGACTTAGTTGGATTTCTTTCCTGTTAACCATTGGACGCAAATAAGCGAGTGATAGTTGAATAACATTTACGTTGTTCGGATACATACGAAATCGCACAAATTTTATCCTTATGCCCTAACGATAGTAGGTCTCTCGTTGATAAGATATCGTCAGAAATTTTTCAGGACCATGTGAGTGGTCTGGCTTTTGAAATCATTCAACTGCACAAGGATCGTCTGCAGTTCTTCACCATAAACTATAACTATTTCCACGACTTTGTTAAAATAATGTTCTATATACTTTAAACTATGAAAATCTCATTACCAAGAATACGGCGTTTTTTCCAAGCGTAAGTCTTTTTTCTACGCTTTCTGCCACACAGTATACCAGTCTTAATTCAATTTCCTACATTTTCTATCATTTCACAGCAGGATATGAAATTTAGTGAATCTGTGCTTAGTCCCCGACGGTAAGGTGTTCTCGGATGGTGATTTTCTTTCAAAGTGCAAATTGACTGAATATTTGGAACGAAATCCTGATATATTAACGTCTGGGTATTGAAAGGCTTGAAAATTTTCGATACCGACTTTTTATCAGCGTATACTATTTGAAAATCTTCACCGGTGTTCCTTTTTCAAACGCTAATCTCCTTATACGCGCTCGAGTGAATCCGAGTCACCAATTCGAAAGTTTGATGAGATCGACACCTGGCAGATAGAAAGGTTTGCAATTTTAGTATCGTTTTCTGCTGCCTTCACCATTGATCATTAATCTAATATTTTCCTAATGAGAAGATCAGTTTATCATCAAGAAACTATCAAATCATGTTATTACTGTGTAGTCTACGCGGTTCTCGTCACTACTTAGGGCATGGGACAACACGATTCTGAACACTTTGTTGTTCGAGAACGTTTAGATAGGTAACGTTGTAGAGTGAACGCAAAGTTGGCAGTAATATTTCTTTATTTATTAGTTACGAAAGAACAATGAGCTCCCATATAAAATGTTACTTGGGATACTTTTACTTTATCATGTTTCAGATCGGGAACGTCTACGACTTTTGTCATGAGCTGATGTTTATCGCATTTGAAATAAAGTATGAGAGCGTTTCAGTGCTGTACAGCATCGGTAGGCGTAATCTGTTGATGATCTACGATGTGAGTTCATCTCTCCTTTGCTTTAATAGATTTACTTACCACTCTAACCACCTTTTCTCCAACATCTAATAGGGTACCTTTTTAAAAATTCTAAGAAGCTAATGAGTAATCTCATCGCTGTTTTTTCTCGAAGGTCTTGCTCAGCAAGCATAAGGTTATCTCTCGATGATTGCCCAAGCTCTGATAATCAAATGCATTCCTTCTTTTTATTATTCTATTATTCTGAAAGGACATTTAGAATTACGTACCCAAAAAATATGATATAGCAAATTTTTAGCGTTAATTCTATCAAACTATAAACAATTAATATATCGTAAGTATACAGAAATTGTCGCTAATTATGGAAAGACTTGCTTCGTAGCCGATATATCAGCCTGAATTCCCAAGATTGAAATTGCTTTTCCAGATAAAAAGATTTGATCAGTAGCAAAAAATGAAAGGAAACTATTACCGCAAGAGAAACTAGGCAATTTTCCATATTCCTTGTTAACTTCTCGTGATGACCAACGTAGAGCATCATGTATCCATTTGAGGACCACACCGCACAATGTCAAATCTCCTCAGCTCTGTGATGTTGGCGCATTCTGTGAGAAGACAGGCGCCAGACAGCATAATGGGTGCGAGGAGAAGAACGCAGATTCTGAGAGGAGCTTTTTTTTCGTCGTGATATGATGATAATTCATTGGAAAATTATCTACAGAGAAAATCCTAATAAAAGAGCATCTATATCTTCCATATTCAATCTAGATTTTTCATCTTTCAACGAAAAAACTACGTCGCCAAATGTTAATGATAATAATTATGGTTACGAAAGGGGTAATGACTGTGCTAACAATAATGACAATCATTATAATAGTGCTAATAATTGTCGTTGTTTTGAGCTGTTTGTGCGATCACATAAAGACACGCGTACAGTGCTAGACATTGCGCTGATTTTGAACAGTCGAATTTGTAGCTAGTAAAATGAGATTGTGATAAATGATTAAGAATAAATGTGATAATTGATCAATGATAATGATAGAAAGTGATAATGACAGTGATAATGATAATGACAGCAAAAGTGGTAATGACGATTGTGATTATAGTGATAGTAAAAATGATAGTAGTGATAATGAAACTAATGGAGCTCGAAATCCTTGTATTGCATGTTACACCCACTTCTATGTAAACAATTGTTAGCTTTCATCACCGTTTGATGCTAATCTGGTAGCCTTCAAATATTCACAGCCTGCCTCAATCTTTTGAGAATTCTGCTTTCATTGTTTTGTCAGTCGCTCGACAGCTTCTAGGTCAAGGAAAAAATTCCTCAACACCTGCTCAAAATTCAAAGTTCATGCATCAATTCATTTGAAAACAATATTAATAAATCTTCAAAATACAGACCATCATTATCCACGGTCTTGTGTCAACGATGTGCAAGATTCTAAATCTGCTCGAAAAAACCAATCCATAAGCTTTCAATTAAAAACTCCTGACATGCTTCTTCAACTTGATCAAATTTCTCGAATCGTTGTCCACGCTGAAGGCTCTATTTAGCGGAAACAAGGACCAAAATCGAACGGCGCAGCATCTGCACTGTAGACTAGGTGCGGCATGACGTCGACTCCCTCCATTAAACTTTTCCTTAGTCTTCTTTGCGATGTGATGTTTGGCATTGTCTTGCTGAAGCAATGAGTTTCTACGAATCAATGTCGGGTACGTTTCCTTCAAGTTTTTGTATTTCAGGTAGTTTCTTGCTGAAATGTTTTTAAGATATCTTCATGAATTTACAATAACAGATACTGGATGAAATAAATATAAAATTTAGGTTTTTTGGGTGAACTTTTTCCTCAACCCAGCAATTTTACGGCAATTCCAATGGCATGCTTGATTTTAGAACTAAATACATAGTGCGGTGTATCGGTAAAAACAAAATTTTACCTCAAACTCGACGCGTTTTCGCGTGTATTTCTGATATTTATTCAGAATTTTTCTTCCCCCTTCCCTAGAGATTCCTAGGTTTTTTGGGTTAAATTGTAACAAAAACTTTGTTCTATAGTTCCATAGGCTTAGTTTTTTTTGTTTTCATCACATAAAATGGATAAAGCTCTCGGTGCTTATTAATCCCTGAGAGAAGCGCCATGTGTTCGTCTCCAATTTTCACCTTCATCTGAGGTGATTGAGTACCCATGTCTGACCCTTACAATGACTTGCGGTGGCCTGCAGGTGTATCAGGTCAGTGCTGTTCATCCTTGCGGACAAGTCTGGAGCCAGTCTTTTACCAAGTTACCGACTCGGAGGCGTGAATAGTTTGGCGTGCCATGAGCCCGAGATTGAACCACCGATCATGTGTACGGCGTAGAACACCTCTAACCACTGTACCATATGCGCTTCTTTTCATCACATGCTGTCAAATAATCTACCAGTCATTGTTACCGAAGTGCCGTGCAAATTCTAAGCTTTCTTCGGCAACTATAACGCATATAGAAACTTTTCTAAAACCACATACAGCATCAAAGTCGTCACTATTTGTGCTATCCAATGATATTTAGAAGTCCAAGAAAGCGCTTTGTTCAGCGAAAAATGCCGAAATTTGAAACATATTTTTATTCCTATTGCAGTAACGTGATACAGGAGCCTTTTTAGTAATAAAGTAAAGCTTTATAATGGTCGAAATGTAAGCTCTCGAATAACTACTAAAAGTCTTTGAAAGAAATGAAAAACGCCTTGTTTTTTATGGTGTTGTATCGGGTACGGATGACAGTGTTCAATTATCGCACGTAGATACCGCGCTCCATTCACACGGTGGTAGACACCTTCAGATATCGCGCTCCAATCGAGCAGAATTAGACGTCGTTAGACGTCCGCTCCAATCAAACGGAGGAACTCGTCGTCCCGAATGTGTCAATAACTATCACAAACCGTTCCAGTCCCGGCTTTTTCAGGTACGTTTTAACAGCATTGCTTGTTCCATTTGATATAGTAATACCGATTTAATCGGTTATACCCATTAATGTAGAGTGATGCGCAAAACTTTCGCGTCAGGCGGGACTAGAACCCGCATCTCACTCTATCCGCGACCACATGCTCTATCCGTTACATAACTGGCGCGCAATTTGTAGAGCATTCTTTCTACGCTACAGCGCTTCTATCTGTCGGCCGCCAGCCGTCAGCGACCTAGCTCGGGTAGTCGGTCTCGACATTGAACCCCAGAGTCATGCTGACAAGATATTGAGTATTGAAGATCAAGTGGAATTTCTTTATTGCTGTGCAAAATGGGCGCCAGTAGTGTAACGGATAGAGCACACGCTCATGGATAGAGTGAGTTGCGAGTTCGAGTCCCGCCTGACGCGAAAGTTTTGCACATCAATCTACATTAATGGGTATATTTGAAACATCATACCACAGCCTTTCTCGTTTTTTTAAATTCCAATCTCGAAATATTCGTTTCACTCAAGAGAACCTAAGCATGAATCATCTGTCGCGTACTTTTGCCGTTTTCATATTATTAGGCTGTTTCAAAAGTTGGGTACTAGACCAAAAAACATCAAATTTACCAATCAGAAATGATTATAACTGTATGATTTCGCTATCGTTTGATTGTGTATTTTCTTTCGAAAATTTTGGTATACAGCTTGCTCATACTTGATTCAAGATGGAGCTGCCATGGGAACAAATTCGCTTGCTAGTCAAGCATGAACGACTCTTATTGTAAACACTCTTCTTTGTTAATCTAATCGGATACTTTCCACTGCACTTTCGTGTTACTCCTTTCAGTGCGTACAACTCGGACAAAGAGCTGGGGATTCGCTACGACAGCTTCAAGCACAACGCGCTATAACGTATGTGACAATTATAAAGAAATCTCATACCTTTTCTTTCACCTTATAAAAATTTTGAGATATTCTTTGGTCTGTGCGAAATCAGCACTGGAAACTTTTATACTCTACTTTTTATTTGCATGTTGCGTATACTCTTTCGATAAAATTCAGTCCTGAAGGGACAAGTGAATAACCTGTCTCATTCGATGGAGAGGAAATTTCATAGGACTTAGTAATGATTCGACAGCGCAGTCGTTTCTGATTCCAACGTTGTGCTCATATCCTAAAAAGACCGTGCTTTGAAACGCAGCAGGTAAAATAAGTTGGACTCCCATTTGCGGTCAATACCCTCTGCAACCAAATCGCGTGCGTGTGATTGAGCCCGTCACATGAACTCCTGACGCGATACTTCTACGCCTTCATATGCCCGGAAAATAGATGGTCATCGCGTCATCGAACGTAGCCGCCAGCCAGCCGCACGTGAGTGGGCCAATAAGGCAATTGACCGCAATTCAACTTGTTCTGCCTGCTACATATCAGAGAGACGGTCTTTTCAGGATATACACAGCGTTATAATCAAATTCGATTACGCTATCGAATGATCACTAGTAGTCCAAAGAAAGAGCTCTGTCCGGCAAGAAATATGTGCGTCTGCTCGCAAAAAATCTCCTTCTGTAGCAACGTCAGAAAAAGTCTTTTTCAAAACCGGCGATTTGGGTATGTAGCCTCAAGTCTCAGCTTTCGAATCGGTGATAACATTCCTTTGAAAATTTTCTCTCCGACGAAAAAGATTGGTTTTTCACTTGCCCCCTCATAACTAAGTAAAACTATCATTTCTTCTTTCTATTTTTCTAAACTTTCACATATAGCACCATAACAGCAGTGGTACCTTTTTTCTCAAGTCGACTGTGACATACATAGCAGTAATCTCAGGCAACACATTGACATGCTTCGAATATGTCGACGTTGATGTGAATCCGATAATTCTTACGTCAATTGTATTTCTAGGGTAACATTTCTGTTATCAGGATGCATCTTTTTTTCAACCCTTTGAAGAAGGACCTTTTCCCCTTCTTCTCTAGACTTCTAGTATTTTCATTCAATTAGTACATTCAATACCTTGAGTTTCGTCGATTTGCGCACTGCGATTTTTCTTCGGAAGGCCTAATAGCGCTATAGTGCCAAAAACAAAATCACTTTTCACATTCAACTCCATTTTGTGCTCGACTATCTAAATTCATAGAGACCACAATTCTATCATCGGTGCGCATTTTCTAACCTTTTAAGGAGAATATATTTCTCTTTTTCCTTATCCAGTGACCATTCGATACCTTGGCGACGATTTCAATAGTGTACCTGACTTTTAAAGAGGCCTTCTCAGCGCGCTGTAACAACGGAAATGATGTCACTTTTCCAACGCTGCTAGATCCTATGCACACAGCCTTACAAAATCCCACCATCACACTGTTAGCCGACAAAAAAATGATTATCGAGTGATGCTGCAGTGCAACAAAATGGCCTTTTTAGAGAAAAAGCACAGTATCAGAATCGTTGATATTTAGGCTATCAAATTCTTAATGAAGGTCTGCGAAAACACGGAGAATGGAGCTGTCCTCAAAGGGTTGAATTTTGCATCCCTATGGCAGAAAAGTACTTATTTCTGTATATCCTGTTATACATTCACAAAGTTAGATTACTTGTCATGCTTGACTGCTTCATCAGCTAGCTTAATATTGCTCTTGCAGTTTCGAGTAATTAACTCTACAAACGCCTCTTTTTTGGTACACGGTTCCTTGAAAGACCATCTTCAATAGAGAAAGGTTTCTCGAAACTTTTACTAAGATGAACCCAATGATGTAGAAAGGTGTGCAAAAACGTTTGCGCCAGTTGGGACTCAAACCCAGATTTCACGCTATCCAGAGCGCGTGCTGAACCGTTGCGCCACCGACGCTCGTTTTGCACACCACTCTTTTAACGCTGTACGGATTTATCTGTCAACAGCCAACCGTCTACGGTATGGCGTAGGTAGTCACTTATCGACATTAAACTCACTTATGCTGACAGATATTGGGTTGTCGGCACGAGCGTCGGTAGTATCGCCTCATCATCATCTATAGTCAACCGCATTGAATCTCTTGAGATGCTAGTACTATCATTCTCCGTACAGGTCAATGTCAATCACTTATAAGATCAGGGACAAGCAAAGATCGGAGATAAATGACCGAGTGTAGCCGAACCAAGGAGGGTTAACAAATGAGAATAGTGCGATGTGGCGTGGACTAGTCTTTGTATTACAACCGTCACCCATCTATGCTCATATAGGCGGTAGAAAGCAAAAGGATAAAGTTGTTGCTTCTAATCAATCCTTCAGGGACTGTATCGTGTAGTCGATTTCATCAAACATCGTTTGAGATGATCGGATGCATTTTCGGACTTCACAGTGACTCACGGTTCTACCAATGTATCAAGTCAGTGTTGCCATCCGACGGAATGGAAAGCTCAGGGAGCCTTGAGCACGCTATCGATTCATCGAGCAGTGATTGCTCGACCACGAGTGTTTCGCAAAATCCCCCAAACATTGCGTCACTGCGCTTACCAACTTAATTTATCTTATTCTCCTACATGAATACCTGGACGGTCCGTACTCACGAATTTTGCGTACTTCAGCTGATTTTCCATTCGTTTCTTACTCTTGCGAATGTCATCCGTGATGATGGCCTTCATTCGAGCATGGCGGCTGATTTTATGCCGTTATTTGTAAAATTTCGGCAGCTGCGGGTACAGCTGATTGATTTTTCTTACCAAACGTCCTCTCAATGCGCACGTTGCCGACGTCGCACACGGTTCTATTCTCGTGGAGTTAACTCTAGAAGTCGCCCATCAGTCACCTGTCTTAGTATATGACCGACCCTTGAACCTAGTTAACATCGAAATGTAAGCGCCAATGGAGTGATTGTGTAATGTACGCGTTTATCTATGGCTTTTTTACGTAAATAACTTTAATCAGTCTACTCATCAGTTCGAGGAAATAGACGCTTGAATATAGAAGACTGCATCACTGTTAAATATTTTGTATAGCTTAGATGTGTATGTTCATTCAAGAACGTGAGCTTCTTTACGAGTATATTGAATCAAGTGAAGAGAACGTCCGGAATGTACTTGGAAGGTGGATAGAATTTGAAAGGGGATATCCTCGCTATACACTCATTACCAATGTTAAGTGCAATAAATTAATAATTCTTGTATATCTGAGGATCACTGTAACACTTATCGGATCTAGGTGTTGCACACGGCTCGAGATGCGCTGATAAATACGTCCATGAAGTTAGTTGACGGAAACTGCAATAATTTTTTCTCATCATTTTTCATTTTCATCATTTTTCATCATCATTTTTCTTTCAAGAGGCCTTTTTTAGTGGACAGAGAATTTCATTGGCGCTTAAGTGGTCGTTCGAAGGCCTTAATCTTGGCGATCTCCATACTAGATCTGATTTTTGAAGTCGTATTACTACGCTGTGGAAATGGGAGTAGAATTTGAGTTTCACACTAGTCACGCATGAGCACGCATGTTTTCGCCAGTTGTTTGATTATTGTTTTCTATTTGGTAGAGATCTCCGGATTTCTGCCTTATGCAAAAGACGTTCTGTTTACTCGTTTTCTAGGCGTAGGTTTTTCATTTTTATTTCACATTACCCAGTGGAGCCGCTAGTGAGCCAAAGTCTAAGATGCTCAAGCCTATGTCTTAGCTTAGCCTATTTTATCTAGTGTATTTATTTGAAAACTAGGAAACAGTAATCAAAACAAAATCTCGCGCGACATGTGAATCACGATGCGCAATCAGACAAGCCGTTCGGAAAAGCACTGATTCTGAGTGTGAAACGTACACTGCTGAACACGTCAGAATTTAAGCTTTCGAAAGGTTGAAAATTTGAAAAAAGTGAGGAATAGCCTTATCTTCAAAGAGCAAAGATGCTTTCAGATAATGGGATTGTGCCCCGCTAAGAAGCCTGGTGAACCAGCAGAATTGCGCGTAGACTGTGAAACGTGATTTTATCTTCACTTCTGACGCACTCTTTGAAGATTTCTTCAAAAAATCTGTGGTGCTGCAATTTCTCGAAATCGAACTAAATGAAACAACACCTGTGGTATGAGGGAAAATAAGCAAAGTCATTTTTCTCAAGGCGCAAAAAAGTTTTTCCCTAACAAAAAGGCATCTTCTTTTCTTTTGTGTTCCAATAATAGTGTAGTGAAAAATAAGCATGTCTTATGTGAACGTAGTTATTTATCTTTTTGCTCCATATTTTACATTTCTGCAACACCATTGTTGTTACGTGGAATTCGCGCGTTCTCCAAATTGGTAGTCGGGTCACTCATGCAAGTTATCATTCACAAAAACATGAGGAAGAAATCTAAAGAATTTGGAAATTTCAACCTAAGTCCACTCAAGTTCAAGATTATGCCCTTTTACTCACACTGTTTTACTGAGAAAGTCCACAATTTATACTTCGTTCAATATTCGAATTAGAAAGCCA